GATACGCCCAGAGTCACGGAACGGATTAAGTTCGTATCCCGAGGTACCACTGTATTTGGATTGGAACCAGTGGTGATTTTCTCTTAGTGGAAAGATCTTCTGTTGACTTAAATCATGACACCTCATTTTTGCTTAATTCTTTTTCCCTCTTACGCTGTTTTTTCATGAAATCTGGAAAGGTGGCACTGGGGGTTAGGTGTTTGGAATCTGGGTGTGGAATTTAAGCAAACAATACCACAATGATTAAGCATGCATGTACTAAAAACAGATAATGTCTTGACAACATTCCTCATTGCATATCTATAGAAATAGAGCTGCGTAGTTCCTTCAGCATGTCCCTCTGGATCCACAGTGTGAAGCTGGTACAGTAGAATTGTCTTCTGGGCATCCATATGTGTACCCAGAAGACCTTGGGGAAGCAGTGGCTGCAGCTACTTGGCCTGTTTGCACCACAAATCTAGAGCGGTACTTCACTTGTGAAGCACCTTGTTGAAGGATCTATGCAGCTCTACATTCAATATGCATTTAATGGAAATGTTTTCAGGATATTTATCTGTTTTTAATATGTGTATGCATGCTTTTGTTAAAGGTTCTGTAGAGCCCTATAGAAAGGTTCCTATTCAACTGGGTTTAGAATAGTAATTTCTCAAAAATGTGAGCTATGGATTTGCTTGGAGTACTAGAAATAATAGCTAAAGAGTAGTTCCTGAGCTACTCATTCTTTTCTGCATCTTATAATAATATGTTTTATTTAAGCTTCAATTATTAAGTAAATATTTAATTTAGTTGGTGAAATTGTTACTAATTGTGAACTTCTGTTTGTATAATTCCCCAGGGTAGCGCTCTGTGTTTTTCAAAACTTGACTATGCAGTAGCATGGTTCATCAGAGAATCCATGACAATATACATTTTCCTCTCAGCTTTGTGGGATCCTACTATTAGCTGGAGGACAGGACGCTACAGATTACGCTGTGGAGGCACTGCAGAGGAGATCCTTGATGTATAGCCACAGCTTTGTGACTGTGTATTTCAAGAAAAGAAAAAAGAGAAAAGAGAAAGTATTATAAATTATGTTTATATAAATGCTTTTAAAAGATCTACCTTCAATAGTTTTATTACCTGTATGTTTTCATATCTGTTCTCTAATTTATTTTGCATGGCACTTGCATCTGTGAAAAAAATACATCTATAGTCTTGGCCAAATGGTACCTTGTTTTTATGTACAAACTCAAATCAAGAAGATTGGTTCCAGGATTCATTTTTCTTAGGAATGTTCTGCAGCAAGCTCTACAAACAGTATCTTTCAGTATAGTAAAAGCTACTCTCTATTAATCAAAGGACATAATCCACTGGGAATAAATTCTGCATAGGTCCACTGAAAATGTATGGGATGTATGCAAAGCACAGCTATATGTTTGTCCCAAATGGTCTTCTGGTCATTGGACTGCATCACTAAAAGGCTAACGATGTTTTCAGTACAAGTGTGGTTAGCTTTGGGAAGCACAAGTGGTGGGGCACAAGGAGAGAAGCTTTTTAGATGATCTATGCCTACCTCTTGCAGTTGCTGCAGAGCAAATATGAATAGATAACTCGGCCTTAGGAATAGTAAAACCTTGAAATGTGTATCTGTGTGTGGGTACATACAGATTAAACGATTTTGGTCTCTCTGCAGGGAACCAAAAGTTTGATATGGTACATGGGAAGAATTAGTGCTTAGATGGGGGGCATCTTTTGGCCAACTCTAATTGGTTCTGTCTTGAACCATTTTAATCACTGTGCTGTAATTAGCCTAGCTAATCTCCTCCTTCATTCCCATCCTGACTTTTTTAAAGGGGTGTTTTTGTTTCTCTGTAAGTGAACATTTGATAGTTATGGGGCGAGGGAATGCATTTCAGAAACATTTCACATATGAACTATTTTCTTACACACTGTCTTCTTAAGAATGTAACTTCATGAAGCAGGTATTTATTATCTTTTTTTAAGTGGGCATCTTTCTCTTTACACTAGTCATCCTTAAGTATCGAATTGCAATAGATACTTGTCAGCATATTAAAAGGCAAGATGAGTTTGCTGTTACTGATTTGAACTTGTAAGCTTTAGTTATCAGCTAGATCTTTTTTTGGATTTTTCCCTTCTATTAATCTAGTCTTTCAATTGGGTTTTTGTATTCAAGCTGTAATTGCTAAAAAAAAAAAAGAAGAAGAGAGAGACTAGATAATAACCAAATTTGTAAATGCATGCTGTTTCTCTCTCCCCCCACCCGCCTTTCTCTCAGTTTGTTCTCCACCCCATTATTGGATTGCTCTTAACATGGTGAACTGGACTTGTTTAAATGCGGCTTTGGTCACAAAGCAAAATTGCGAGGGGCGCTGCATTAAGCCTTTTGTTTTCTTTTGTATTTGTTCTTATGTTGCTTCTCTCCTCCCCCCCACCCCCAGGTGAGCATGGCATGTTATCCCCATAAAGGTCACTTGCAAAATGCATTGCCAGTACGACAGCTTTAAGTCTTAGGTTATGATACTTCTGTGATAAAGAGCATAATCTGTAGCATACTAGCAATAATTATGAGTATTTATAGAATTGGATGTTCTTCCAATTTACTGAGCCAGTGCATTTAATTGTCTGGTATACACACAGTGTAATGTAATAGGGTGCGTGTTTGAGCATGCACATTTTTGTGTGCAGACAAATCCTAGGAAACATTCCCCAGAGCTTTGTTTGCCTTATGACATTACAGAACTTGTTTTGAAGGGCATCTTTCTCCTTGAACAAAGGCTTTTAATGCATGTTTCATTCTTCACATGTGAATCGGGAAGAGCTGCTTCCTGAGGAAGGTTGCATACTGCAAACTAGTCTGGTTATGAGCCACTTCAGTTGCGTTTTTATCATATGTGTTGTTATCACTGATACCTAGCTTAATTTTGCTTATAATGTTGCTATTTCTGTTTGTTCGATGAAGTTTGGTTGATGCCATCCATTGCACTGCTAAAGTGAAGCTTAGCTGATTTGGCTTGATGCTGATCACCATGTGAGCAGTGTAATACAAAAACCAAAAAGGCTGGACAGACTTCAGTGTGTGTGTGTGTGAGTGTGTGTGTGTGTGTGAGAGAGAGAGAGAGAGAGAGAGAACTGTGAAGAACTACGAGTATGAGTGTGTGTATGCGTGTGTGTGCATTAGTGAAACCTTTATGATTTAAAGGAAACTGATGCTTCACGTAAATAAACAACTTAATTTCTTGTATAAGAAATCTAGGTTGATTTTGAAAAAAAATACTTAAAAATATTGTAGGAGGGCACTGTGACAGAACAGAGCAATGGTTCAAAATGGTTAATCTAGAACTGTCTGTCAACATGTTAAGAATACCATGTTTATTTAAGATTGTCTTGTTTTTGTTTAAAAATAAATTTTGAATACAATCACATGTTTTGAGAAAGTATATTTATTTATTGCTTTTATTCCCATTTAATATCCCTTGAACACTTCTCATATGGAAATCAGTGCTTTTCATCTTGTAACATTATGGTTCTCGTTTCTGTAAAAATGCACTCAATAATTACATCAAATATGATCTTAGTGTGTGTGTGTGTATACATACATACGTATACCTGTCCCTAAAATATAAAAAAAACATTTAGAGTTGGAGATCTGTAAATGTTATTTACAATCAGTTGGAGATATGTAAGTATGTTATTTATTTGATTAGTTTAATATATTTATATACTACCAGTGTGTTAATGCTCTGGGTGATTGACAAAGATAGAATAAAAATGTCCATTAAAAGCAATATTAAAAACATATTTGCTATAAACCACACAGTTAAGAGGCTTGGGTAAATATTCTAAGTCCCTCCAAAATCTGCTTATGAGGAGAGGGCTTACTTCAACTCTAGTGGCAGTTTGTTCCATAATATAGGCTCTAACGTGGAAAAAACCAGAAAGGATCCTTTCTGTCAAATTTTATCTATAGCAGGACCAGAAAGAGGTACCCCATTAATGAGTGCAGGAATGACAGGGTAGAAGGAGGCCAACCCATGTTTGGGCCCAAGTCATGAATGGATTTATACACCATTGTATTGTATTGTATTGTATTGTATTGTATTGTATTGTATTGTATTGTATTGTATTGTATTGTATTGTATTGTATGGTGTATTATATTTATACACCATTGTATAACACTTTGAATTGGGCTTGGAAGACAAGTGAAGCTTTTTGAACACAGAATAATTTAGGACCTCAATGAGGCACCACTCATCAGCTGAGATGTTGCATTCTGGACCAGTTGCAATTCCTGGCACATTTTTGATTATGAATATATTACAATAGTCCAGCTTTAAGGATACCAACACATGAGTCGTTGAAGCTAAATCTCTCTTCTCTAAGTATGGACACACAGTTAATTCAAGCTGATAAAAGATGTTACATGGCTACCCAGGTTTCAGCTCCTTAAAGGCATGGTCTCCAGATTAAAACTGTACTTAAGACACGTCAGAATTATTTGTTACTCCTGGTTACCTGAGTCCAACTTCAGTTTAGTATTTTCTTGAATCCAGTTCTTTATAGTCTGGAGACACACAAAGACCTTGGAGACACCCATTCCCAAGCTCATAGGAGGGAGAGAAGGACTGTATAGCTGAGTATCAGCTAACCAGACTCAACCCTGCTTAGCTGCCAAGCTCAGATAAGAGCAGCCAACTGCTGCTGCTACCAGCTGAGACATACAGTATAGACTGTAATAAGTCTAAAACTGGCCTAGGGTTTTTTTAAAAAAAGGAAAAACTAGCCCTGTCTACCAAAAATATAGAAAAAGCAAAAATGCTGTTTCTGCCTTCAGCTCCTTCCAGAACAAACATATCCCAAGCTCTCCCACACACAGGAACTATCAATATTATCTAATGCACTGGTGTTTCAGTGCCCATCTCCCGACTTTATATTAGAGAAGGTGCTCCCCTGTCTGAGTGTTGCAAACTGTACTTGGTGAGATAGTCATGTAGGGTCAGTGATCTCTCCTTCATGGGGCCTGCTGGTGAGCCCTCAGAGGGTGTGCTGGACAAGGGCTCATTACATCAGCTTCCAGTTCTCCAGAAATTTGCCACAGCTGGATTTGTGTCAAATTGGAAGTGTGAAGTAAAAGCTGCCGAAAACATTTCTCACTTCCTCCCGAGCTGTGAAATGAAGAAGGATACCATTTATGATGCAGAGGATATTGCCTGTCCCTTTTCCTGAAACTGGTTTAAACCATATGGATTTCTACGGGACTGAAATGACCCCTGGGAAAAGCTCAAATCATGCTAGGGTTTCTTTTCTTCATCTGGTTCATACTGAGCTGAGCCAACATGATAAAATATGCTGTTTATTTGAAATAATTAAGAACGCAGCGAACTCCCAACATCAAGACTGCCAGTATTAGCATAAGACCATTTCCCATTTGCACCATTATTTATTCTTCTTTCAAGATATGATTGGATAAATAAATACATGCTCACAAAGCACTCTTTGGGCCATATAGGAGCAGGGAGGGCCAGGCATGCCAGCTCTGTCCTCTGCACCCCCAAGCTCCCCATGTTGAGTGGAAAAGTATAAATCACCATGCATCTGGAATCCCTGTTTTATCAGGAGACTTGATCACACAATGGCTCTACCTATGTTCAAGGATGGCCACTTATGTGGCTTATGGTAAAAACTCCTTGCTGAGTCTCTCTATCCATATGAAGCAAAATGATCCAAAGATCACTGTAGTATACTGGCAGACATTGTAGGAGGAGAGTTGAGTTGATCTATGGTAACCAAAAATCAGTCTGGTACAGGTAATCCTTGCTTAACAACTGCCCTGTTTAGCGACCATTCAAAGTTACAGTGGCACTGAAAAAATAACTTTATGACTAGTCCTCGCACTTATGACCATTGCAGCATCCCCATGGTCACATGATCAAAATTTGGGTGCTTTGCAACTGGCAGGTGTTTATGACCATTGCAGTGTACCAGTCACGTGATCGCCATTTGCACACTTCACAGCCAGCTTCTGACAAGCAGAGAAGCCGGCAGTAAAATTGCAAGTCATAGTCACATGATCTCTTCCTCAATGACTGTATCACTTAGCGACAGAGTTGCTGGTGCCAATTGTGGTCATTAAGCGAGGACTACTTATAGCACCTTTTCTGACTAGCACATTTTATTCAAAAGCATAGCTGCATCAGATGCAACCAATCTGAAGAGGTAAGCTATAGCTCTCAAAAGCTGATGCCTTTAATAAAATGTGTTAGTCAGAAAAGGTGCTACCACAGTCCTGATTTGTAGGGTATTGGGTAATAATTGTTATTGGTCTATCAAACATGCCTGTGATCTTTTTTTAAAAAATTAATTTAGGCTCTCTGCATCTATTGTAATTGTTTCAGGCTCACTGGAGTTAGGGTTCTAGTTTCAGTAAGGCAATTACCAAAAAAGCTTGCTCTTGGCTCTAGTGTCTTTTGTTTGGTTAGGAAAAAGGGACACAACAATTACCTGCATTTACTGTTACAGCTTATGCTTCTTGGGACAATGCTTCTTAAAATTAGAATATTTTTCGTTCCTTTCCCATGTGCTTTTTTGTGTTTATGGCTCTTTAGGTCTGCTGTATTGGGGATGAAGAATTGAAATGATGCTATCTAAAAGAATTTAACAAAACTGTGAACTGCAACAGAGTTTCTTTGAGTAGCAGGAGTGGAATCTCTGATGTTTCTCTTAATTCAAAGCTCTGCCTGCTTTTCTAGAGCTAAGCTTTTGTGAACAAAATGGGTCTTATTTTGGACCAGATGTGCATGGGATTACATTTTGGGGGTGGAAAAGAGTGACATTTTTCAACTTAACCATGTTTAGTTATAATAAGTATGTCTTTATATGTTTAAGGCTCTATTAATCAACTTTAAAATGCTTATTGATGGTGGC